GAGAAAGTTCCCCACCTTGACCCCAACCATCCTTTGAAGTGGCACAGTGGAGCCAGGGCTTACAGAATAAAGCAGCGGGATTTTGGATTAGCCAGAACAATTATGTCATCTGCTACCCCTCTGACTCCTACTCTCAACTTCCCTCTTCCCTCTGATCTTACATGAAGTCCCTACAGCAGGTGCCTGGGAGAAGGAAATAGCAACAACACAGGGAATCATTCTATTTTTTCCTTTCACAGTAACAGCCCGTTCGCTAGTTTTTTGGGGGGCTTACTGAAGGACCTATTACTGGATACCTTGTGCAACTTCAGAAACTGCCCAGCTATTAGTACAATGAACCCTTGGGAGAGCAAAAGGAATGAACAGAATTCAGCCCACATTGTTCTGTAATGCAAAATACTGGAGGATACTTTGTAATGCAAATTTCCTCTGGCACAGTGCAAAGTATTTAGAGGTGACAAATAGTTATGTAAATATGAATCAATATATTCGCCTGCAATCCTGCACTCTCTCGAAGACGTGGCTATAGGAACTGTTTTGATTAGTAGTTACTCTGGAAGATGTATCACTGCACCACTGTTGATTGTGGTTACACCTAGAGGCATCCACAGGAGAGCAAGGTGGGATGCTTCCTCCACCCAAAGGAATTCTTAATTAATTGGTTATTGTAATGTACACTGAAAAACATACTACCATAAAGAAACACATCCCACCTGAAACAAATTCTGCAGGCACTCATAGCTATGCAATGCAGTGGGGCAATTGTTATCAATGTGAAAGTTAGTCATCTAGGAAAGCCCAACAGCAAAATGGGAGGGCAAGAGTCACATCCTGTTAATGCAGAACTAATTAATGAGTTCTTGAAAGATGCTGGCCCTCACTGAATGGTCCCACAGTTAGGATAGTAAATATCTCCAAGATGGCATGGCCAGTTAATCCATGGTGTCAGGATTAGCCAATGAATAAAGCCAGTAGAGAATGCAAGTTTATTTCAGTGGGAGCTCCAGTCATTGAAGAACCAGCTGGGATATACAGGGTTCAAGGTTGGCATCAAATGTGATCTCTGTGAGACAGGGTGTGATATTTAAGCAGGTTGATTGCTGAAATTCGGGTGTTTTGTAGGAAAACTTTACAGGGGAAAGAAGAGAGCTAAGTGACTCCAACAAGCTAAGAAAAGGAAGATGCTTTCCAGTCTGAGCTATCTGTGAGAAGGACTACTGGGACGAATGTAAGGTAAGATTAGAAATGTATTTCCTTGCATGAGAAAGAGGCAGTTATATTATCAGTGTAGGTAATGGGTTAGCTGTGTTGCGCCAAAGTGACATATTTACTGGCTGACTACACAAAGTCTCTCTGAAAACTGCAACAGGGGTAATTAGGTGTCTCTCCTGCCCATAACAATCGCGACAAGCTTTGTGTTCACCAGTACCTCCAACTAGATGTGTCATTTCCATGCTTGAGATTGCAAGACAGAACTCAGGGTTCAGAGTATAACATTAACATACAACTGTACCATACATTCAAAGGGGATATCAGATAACAGGAGTTTGTATTTCACAATGTTGTCTAATTGTAGAGCATGAAAGAGTTACCCATTTAATTGATCTGTGACTTATTTTAATGCCAATTACAGTACAGTACTTGTGTTTGTGTCTTTGCCTTTTCCCTGCAGAATACATTCTGTGTAACAAACCTGATTTCCCAAGTGCAGAAATAAAGAGGGCTGCACTCCTTCCTTAACCACACACATCTACAAAAGCCAATCACACAAAACATGATCACCATCTGTTAGTGTTATGAACCCACTGAACCAGAGTGACCGGATCCAACCCCTTTTAATGTTACAGTGAACAGAACATCAGAAATAAGGTTTCCTATTTTCCCCCTCTGGCAGGGCTGTCTTGAACTGCTGCACAACAAACAGGTGCCACGTTCCCCATCTCTGTTATAAAACAACTCCAAACTACTGAATTTCTGCTTTCCATGCTGTTGTTAAACACCCAGGAATCCTGCCTGGAAAGTGAGACCCAGGATAGGTGCTAACTCTGCGTTGGTGCCGACTCTGCAGGCACCACCGCTCTCCTCACGCAGCTTATTTATTCGTGGTTTTTTTTGCTCGCGTTTTTGGGGACGTTCCTCCTCGTCGCCTGAGCCGCAACCGGGCTCAGAGGGTTTCAGAAGAGGGTCCCCCCACAACTCAAGGCGCAGGAAGGTTCAAGTCAACGCGAGTTGGCGGGACCTCGCGCTCCAGAGGCCACCGGGCTCAGCCTTCCCGCCGCCGCCGCCTTCTCCCTGGGCGCCGGCAGATGCCCGCGTCGCATTGGACGGGGGGCGGCGGGCGGGCGGGAGAAGAGAGACGGC